GTTCAGTAAGAAAGACAGTAACTTTTATGAAACAGCAATCCTGATAATTATACAGAGTAAACATACCTTTCTGTACACCAGCATGTTTGGTGAGTCGTCCGTCTCTCCATTGCTGTTTGGATGGAGGCTGTTGTTCTTTGCCATGGTTTAAAACCTCTGCAAAACAGCTACTCCAGTGGATATATACACCTGATGTGGAGAGAAAAATATAATATAAATGAAAAAATAAATAAATGGCACATTAGATTGATTAAAACATCAAAACTTGCATGATGCTACAGCAATTGCTACAGCATTGCAGAGATGAAGATCAACTGCCTACGTCTTGGTGATAATATCAACCTGACTGTGTCTTTTCCCATTGCAACCATGATTAACATGGTGTTTGAGTAGAATCCAAAATGCACGAATATCGTTTGGACTGCAATTATATTTGGCCGTCTTAACAGCATTTGCCAGCTGCTGTTTGAGGATGTTCCTCTCAAGGTTAAAATGAAAACGATTATCAAGTAAACGCTGCAAATCTAATGACAGCGGATCACAGATCAGACACTTCTCAGGTTTGTAAGCTCTGTGGGACAGCCAATTAAATGCAAACACTGTTCCACCTCGTGCTGCATCCGTATGTCATGCATGCGAACGCTTTATGGTTTGTCAAAGCGAGATTCGCTTTCTTATCTCGCTACAAAGACAAGGGAGCATGAAGCTAATTTTCGCGTAACCCAACATGCAGACTTGCAGAGGCACCCGATGCTTTCAGAACCACAGACAGCTCCTCAGGCGGAACTGCAGCCCCTGCTCGAGTCCCCAGAAACCTGGCATCACCGATAAAATGCACAACACAAATCACAAAGCATCACTTCTCTTCACTTTTACCTCAAACACGCCCCGTCTCCTCCTGATGAATGAATCCGCGATCCAAGAGTGGATCAAGCTTGTGCAGTTCGTCAGCTATCAGACGTATCATTCATTGGAAATATTAGTGATCCTTTGCTTGATGCTGACGCGTTATCGCGCGCAGGGTTTCTGCTGAAGGACGGGGCACGCGCCAGCGACAAGGGCACGCGCATCCAACCTTGAACCAATCCTGGAGCCTATACAAAAGAGGAGGGAGTGCTTTTCTTTTCGGTATTTTTGTTTTTGTTTTATTATTCTAACATTATTTGAATGATAATAATTTAAATGCATAATAATATTTAATAATAATTATTATTATTATTATTATTATTAAGTGACACTTTATTTTAAGCGTGTACTTTTTACAAGTTTCATGTACTTCCTATTTTAATTACGGTAACGTATGCATAATTAAATGCAACTAACCACAAACCAAACCTTCATTGTAACCTAATCATTTAGTAAGTACATGGAATTAGTTAATATTACTCGGTAGTTAAATCAAAAGTCACACTTTAACAAAAACACCGTACAATTGTGTAAGCTATTCTTATTCTCATTGCATTGTGCATGCTTCTTGGAACAATGACAGGGCTATATAAAGGCCAGGATGGCACTGACCCAATAAGATTGATGGCTGCTCACCCAATAAAATGATTTGACACTTTCTTGGGGAAAGAAGGATCCTGCATTGTACCCATGTGATGAATAAGCAGATAAGCACTTTTCTTCTAGTTGCCTACTTCTTTCCAATGGCAAATGGTATAAATGTAATAGCTGTCAATGACAAAAACAAGCAGAGAAACTGAGATTTAGCCTGCACTTTGGCTATTTTAATGTGAGGGTAAAATGCCTCTTAGATTTAGCTTCCTTGAATGAAGTTATCTTACACACTTGAAGTACCATAACACACACAATGCTGCAGGTGATATGCATAGTAGGCCACTGAATGTTCTTAAAATAATCCCATCTTACTTTGAGACTGGGTGAAATCATATTTCCTTAAGGGTGTTCTCTAAAACCAGTATTCATAAATTCATTCAAGAATCCATCTATTTTTCATCTCTATTCTCAGGACCGCTGCTGTACCTAGTTTAGCAATGCATAGCAATGTTCTTATTACAGCTACTTTGTTCTACATCGCTGCATTCATTACACAAACTGGCCACTTTCATACCATTTCAATTGCTTATTAATATAAATAGCTAATCAGCCAATCACACGATGGTATTTAAGCACATGGTCAAGACAATCCAGCAAAGCCAATCATCAGAATGGGACAAAAATGTGATTTCAGTGACGCAGTGAAGAAGCACTGGTATTTCAGAAAACAAAATCAGCAGATACTGAAATTTTTATGTACAGCATCTCTAAAGTTTACGGTGAATGTTTTTAAACAAAATTTTTCAGGAAGCAACAGTTATATGGCGAAAATGCATTGTTGATACTACAGGAAAAGGTTGAAGATGAAAAGAATGCAACAGTGACTCATATAGCCACTTATAAACTCAAGGTGTGCAAAAGAGCATCTTTTAATGCGGAACATGTCAAACATTGAAGCAGATGAGCTACAGCAGCAGAAAAGCAAACTGGTAACATTCTTGTCACCTTAAACCAGCAAATTTAGCCTACAAAATGCAGTCTCACCAAAATTCAGACAGCAGAAGGTTTTAAAAATGTCTGTTGAGTGGTATGATAATTCTTGATTTTACCATTAACTGATAGTAGGGTCAGAATTTCCTGTTAACAACATGAAAGCATAGAGCATTTGGCTGTGGAATATGAAAATATACAGTACATCAAATTAACAAAATACAGTAATAGTTTATCATCTTTTGGATGACCAATTAGGAATGTGCAACTTGAAAAAGTTGAAAAAGTTGCAAGCTTGAAAGTACAATGTACATTTAGCATTTTATTTATCAATATTTTATGTAGGGCATGCAATAATTATTTTTTTAAAAAGTTTTTTTTTTTACATTATTAATAAATATAGGTTATTTGTAAAACCCTCACCAAACATTTTTGCATGTTTTGTATCTTCTTGCTTGTTACGGTTTTGATCCCTTTTGCCTTCAGAACTGCCTTGATACTTTGTAGCACAGATTTAATAAGATACTGCAAGCAATTCATCGGTTTTTGGTCCATCCTGACATGATTGCATCACACAGTTCCTCAGATTTGCTGGATTGATGTGAATCTCCTGTTGCACAACATCATGTATGATCTGAAATTTATTTAGAGTTTTTTAAAGTCATCATACAGTAATGTTCAATATACAAGCTATATTATATATAATATTTATTATATTTCTACATTCTTAATCAAACATTTGCCCAGATGTTGTACATAAAATGAGAACAATAATAATATATGAATGAGTACTACATAATCAAGTATATACTTTAAAATGTCAAAAAAAATATCCTTTCCATGTGGTCAATATTAACATAATTTTTTTGTGATATACAGTTGAAGTCAGAATTATTAGCCCCCATTTGATTTTTGATTTTTTTTTTCAGTTTTTCAGTCAGTTCTGAAGGCAAAAGGGATCAAAACTGAAACAAGCAAGAAGAATATACAAAAATGTTTGGTGAGTGTTTATGAATAACAGGGGCGTAGCAACCGGGGGGCTGGGGAGATATGCCCCCCTCACTTTTAGAGACAGAACATTTAGAAAAAGGTGTTTAATAATTATATGAACGTAATTTTTTTAATCTCATTCAGCTGTCCCCCGACTTTTAAAATGTCCACTACACAACTGAAAAATAGCCTATATTATTGCCACATTAAACTATATTTGATTCTCCTCACAGGGTTTCCATAAAGGTCTTAAAATGTCTTAAATCCCAAAATCATAATAGGCCTTAAAAAGTCTTCAATTTACTGAAATATTGTGTTGAAGGTCATAAATCTTTTTTAAACAAGTCTGTTATTTTATTTTTTTCATGTGTTGCTACCCAATCTGACCAAAACCCATACAATCAGCAACAATCCATCTCGATAAAACTTTAAACTTTTTATTTTAAAAAAGTAATTTTTAACTATTTATTATGATGGTTTAATTATTTTCCTTACAATAACATTTGTTTAAAAGTGTTCCATGTATTTACTGCTGAGGACATCAACCTGGACAGACTGTTGTAAAACTTTTAAAACATTTGATCTTTTTTTTATTTATTTTGAAGATAGTTTAAATCGGAAAAAAAGTGTACAGATACAAGTAAAGCTTGTCTGTTTTTACACAATTAAAAATATTTTGCTAAGAAATATCTAAAATATTTTATTTTTATTATTAATTTATTATTGTATTAATTAATGTATTAAATTACATTTTTTGCTTAGGGCAAATACAAATCTTTTCTATCTGGACCATTTGAAAAAATCCTTAGCCTTTTACCCTTTATGAGTGTAAAATTCGATTCAAAATGGTCTTAAAATGTATTTAAAAGTCTTAATATTAACTTGGTGAAACCTGCAGAAACAAACAAAAACAAAAAACTAAAAAAAAAAAACTAAATGACCCAGTGAATGTCTGTCAAGCCCTCACTCACAGACTTTTAATTGGAGATTACCTGTAGCACAGTTCAAGTCAATTAACATGGCGTTTGTTTATTTATTTTTGCTTTTACAAAGTTCTTTGAAGTAATTGACCTAGTGCACATTTACAATTAGTACTAGTCTTTCTGCAAAATGACCGAAAACAATGAACCCAACTCATTCTATACCAGACAGACGACAGTGCGTTCATTTAAAATAATACTAATAAAAACATGAACGTATCTATCTTTAATCAACCCAAAAAGCATTTTACATATTCATATACAAAAAGTTTACAAATTACCTGCCTCAAACTCATTTATCATTTCATTTTTATCCATCCAAGTACACAAACAGCCTGAAGCAACTCAAGCGTGCACCGACGAGCTGCTCCGCCCTGTGACCCTGTTTGGCGCTGACTCACTCTGTGATCCAATCAGTAAATGAAGAAGGCGGGACAAACCAGCAGCTCCATCCAATCAGTGGCCAGTTGAGCCATCAATCAAACATGACATCGTCCCTAGTCCGAAAAGGACATGCGAAGAGGAAAACAATACATACATTTTTAACACAACGGGACATCATGTAGGAAGACGACAACAGCAGAAACAACCGGTTTATTCGTCAAATAACGATGTCATCTAGCAGAATTGCGGATTTCAGGAAGCATACGTTAAAATCAGGAACTCGGTGTTCGAGACAGAAGTTAATGTTTACGTTAGTTACTGTTTATTTGAATAAATTATTCATCTGAACCAAACCTGCAGCGAACCTCATAACTTTAAAGTGCAACAGGTTACTGCAAGATGGTGTCGTGGATTATATCAAGGGTCATCGTGTGAGTATTTATTACATGTTTTGTTTCTAAGCTACAGTATATGCATCAGTAAAAACCGCTGATGTTGCGCTTTCATAACCAAATCTATGCTTACTGTTCTGTCTATGTTAAAATACAAAAAATACAGTATTATGGATTTACAAAACTTAATTTATGGTTTATTATAGTTTATTTGCTGATTTTAAACAGTAAATAAAAAACATCAACGTGCATAAAGCATAAGTTGTGTCTTAGTATTATAAATAACTTGGTTACCACATTGGAAAATGTATAATACACCATAACAGCCACAAAAAAGCAATACCTTTTAATATGTTTAATACATTTTAAAAGGACAAAGAAATATTTACAGTCAGTATAAATTTTGATTTATAGTAATCAAAGTTTGAGTAAACAAAAACCTTTCAGTCTTTCAATATCTTCCAGAAACCATCCAGTCCTAACAAATGATAGTTAAAGTATTGGGGGAAAAATCATTGAAATTCATTGAAAAGAAAGTCAAGGATCAAACATGATGAGATCATAAATTATACAGGAAAACCCTGCATAAATCTAGCTGATGTAGTGGAATAGAACAGGAAATTCATCATGCATTTGGCTGAAGACCTGCTTTAGTCCCTGTCTGCCATAGAGGAACTGCTGTTTTCCTGCTGGACCGTAATGTTTCAGTAGGTGTGTCTCTTTTTGCGGAAAAGGTCACCGCAAGCAAGACACAGGCTGTCTCGTCTCACTAGGTGCTGTTTGCTGTGGGGTTTGTTATCTTTACAATACTGACAGTGTAAGAGATAAGGGTCTCCGGTCATCACTGATAGAAATACATTTATATATTTTAGGTTATAGTTGGTTTCAAAGTCTAAAGGTCTTTCGAAATGTCTTTTGTGTTTTTAATGCAAGTTTCCACAATTAATTATTCGCCCCCAGGCAAGCAAGGCCTAGCTGTTTTGGAGATGTGCACTAACATCATACACACCAAACACACATTCCTATTCTTTCCCTTCTTTTTTTACACTCACGAGTTCTCTCAGCGTAATAGGAAAGGCATGACTAAACCATTGTGACTCTAATGTGTTCATAAAGGCGTTCAACGTTTAAACACTTTCATCTGACTTTTAAAAGCAAAGCAAGCTTCTTGATGTGCTCTGCTTGGACTTGATGTTGAAGTACTTTTTATTACAATTGATAGTTTTACTGTTCATTTTAAGTTAAGAGATGACCTGTACTCTTGACTTCAGCACTTTATAGTAGAGATGTTTTAGAGTGGAGAAACAGTTATGCAATAAATGGAATTCATCCAACGGTTCCTCACCACACACACACACACACACACACACACCCATGATCCCACATAACTTTAGACGGTATCAGGCAGTGCTGTCGTTCCCATAGCTACTAGAAAATACATGATTCAGGCAAAGACAGGCTGGTTACAGTGAAGGCCGTGGATGTGTAGTAAGGCTGTATAATATAACATTTCAGCATCGATATTGCAATATGCACATCGGCAATAGTCACATCGCTGGATCTGCAATGTCAAGTATGGCTTATTGTTGACCAGGAGCTTGTAGGTTAATGGCAAACTTTCACAATTGTGGATGTAAAGTTTATTAATTGCATTTGTTTTGATTTATTTTTGTTAAACAGAGTTTAAAGCATTCTGGCAAAAGAAACTATTTTGCTTCACCAAAGGCTAATTAAATTACATTTATCATGAAGACTAGCCAAGTTTACATTAGATTTTTTTTTTTATATTTGTGTCCAACTGCCATTAAGACTTCCCAGACCTAAATCAAACTGTTCTTTCTGTCATTTGTATGCTTCCCCCACAAAACAAATCCAGTTTAAAATGAACTTTAGTAATGCATGCACATGCACTTCACTATAAAAATCACCCCAAACCTTCTAAAATGGTGAATTCTTCCCAAAAAGAGTCATTCAATCCATCTGGTAAAATATATATCATAACGCAATGCATATCGCTGAAATACAAAATATTGCAATGACCATTTTTTCCAGCATCATGCAACCCTAATGTGCAGTCAGTGAAATAAATGCTACAATAAATACATCTATACAGTTAACAACACATTTTGAATGATCAATACAGTACTGCGTCTATTTGTGTCACATTCTCACTCTATAAAGAGATGCGCTGGATTACAGGAGTTATAAAAACATACACGTATTTATTTGCAAAACACTCAACACACAGGAATCAGGGTAAAAACCATGGCACTTCAATACCGAACAAGGAGCAAACTAACCACAGGGACTTAAATACATAGCACATACTACAGCTAATTAGACACAGGGGTGAGACACAGGTGGAAAATGAAACAAAGGAATCACCGCACATGGGGAAGTCACATGACATAAACACAGAAACTACACCAAAACACTGGACACTTGACAATTATTTTGCCTCAGGGTTCATACAGTCATGGAAAACCTGGAAAAGTCATGAAAACAGATTCTGTATACTTGAATATAGGTTAGTTGTATAAATGTTTTTTTTATCCTTGGCCAATGGCCAATCACATACTCTCACATTATTATTATTATATATTATTATTACACACATCTCGGGCATATTACACTGTCTCGGGTATCCACAGATAGCTGGTGAGTTAAATTTGGTATAAAAGCTCTTCCACTCTCTCAACCAGGCCACTGAAAGTTCAACATTGCACCTCATGGCAAACAACTCCCAGAAGACCTGAAAAACAAATTGTTGCCTTACATAAAGATGGCCTAGGCTATAAAGCGATAGCCAACACTCTGAATCTGTGCTGCAGCACAGTGGCCCAGACTATTTAGTGCTTTAAGAGGACAGGTTCTTCCCAGAACAGGCCTCGCCATGGTCAGCCAAGGAAGCTGAGTGCACGTTCTCAGCATCACATCCAAAGATTGTCTTTGAAAAACAGACGGATGAGTGCTTCCAGCATTGCTGCAAAGATTGAAAATATAGGAGGTCAGCATGTCAGTGCTCAGATCGTATGCCGCACACTGCATCAAATTAGTCTGCATGATTGTGGTCCTAGAAGGAAACCTCTTCTAAAGACAATGCAAGAAAGCTTGCAAACAATTTGCTGCAGACATGCAAACTAAGGACCAGGATTACTGGAACCATGTCCTGTGGTCTCACACCAAGATAAACCCATTTGGTTCAGAAGGTGTCAAGTCTGTGTGGCAGCAACCAGGTGGGGAGTACAAAGACAATTGTGTCTTGTCTACCATAAACATGATGGTGGGAGTGTCATGTTCTGGGGCTGCATGAGTGCTGCTGGCATCGGGGAGCTACAAATCATGGAAAAGACATGGAATTTTAGTAGTTAAAATGTTTATGAACCCTGTTGCCTGCTTATAGTGTAAGAAATGTGTGGTATTTTCTGAATATACTCTCATGAGTTTGTCTTTGTGTTTTTTGTACACAGTCTTGTGTTTGGAACGCTGTACCCTGCCTACTATTCCTTTAAAGCTGTCAAATCCAAAAACGTCAAAGAATATGTAAGTACCTAATATTTTGCACATAAGCTATCTAGCTATGCCCTGCTGATTCATCAAATCTTAAAGGGATAGTAAAAATGTAGGTATCTATTCATCCCCAAGCTGTTCCAAATCTATTTGAGTGTTTTTCCTCTACTGAACACAAAAGATAATGTATTATTCAAATATGTTTATTGATTTTTAGTAGTCTTCAATTCTCCCACAACACACACATTTGGACTGTGCATAGCTACAAACATACTCACACCCCATAAAAAAGGGAGTAAAAATAAAATGATAAATAAAAATAGTTGGAAAATTTGGTATAATTTTTCACTTAGGACATAGTAACATCTGAGCATTCAATGTGGGATAGAAAAGGCTGCCAAACCTCAAAAAACTTTTTTGCAGAAGGTGTATTTGAGGTGTTCGAACAAAAGACGATATTTTGAAGAATGTTGGAAATTAGCAAAAACTATAGTAGGGGAAAAATATAAATATTATAGAAGTCTCAACATTCAAAATATCCTCTTTTGTGTTCAACATAAAAAAGAGACTCAAATAGATTTGTGAAGTAAAAGTAGGGCTGTGCATTTAATCGAAAATCGATTTTGGCTTATAACGATTATGAAAAACCATTCATCGAGATAAACGATTATTCCATCTTATACCGCCCCTTTCCAGTTGTACACATTTGTTGCTCTGCAAAGCTCAGTTCCACGTGAAAATGACTGAAAGCATGAACTGTAATGTAATTTTGCACAAACAAGTTGAGAATCAAAAGACATAGGAAAGAGAAACCATATCAGAGTCGCACTATTCTTAAAGTGACAGCGCGCAATATTCCTGCTGCTGCATGTTTTTACTATGAATCAAACAACAAAAGGAGAAAATCCCTCACTGCTCTTGACTGAAGGAATTTTTTAGCTAAAGTTTTTTTTTCTTACAGTGAAGATGCTTAAAGCACAGTTTAAACATAACAGATTTAATAACTCATTTCTAATAACTGATTTATTTTATCTTTGCTATGATGACAGCACATTATATTTTACTAGAGACTTTTCAAGATACTAGTAATTAGATTAAATTGCTTTTCAAAGGCTTAATTAGTGTAATTAGGCAAGTCATTGTATAACAGTAGTTTCTTCTGCAGACAATCAAAAATATGTATTGCTTAAAGGGGCTAATAATATTGAGCTATTAAAATAGGTTTTTAAAATAATTAAACCTGCTTTTATTCTAGCTGAAATAAAACAATTAAGCCTTTCTCCAGAAGAAAAAAATATTATAGGAAATACTGTAAAAAGTTCCTGTTAAACATCATCTGGGAAATATTTATATATAAAAAAAATTCACAAGAGGGCGATTCATATTAATTCCAACTGATAATCATTTTAAATAATCGTGATTATGATTTTTCCCATAATCGAGCAGCCCAAAGTAAAAGCTGAGTAAATGATGACAGAATTTTCATTTTTGGGTGAACTGTCCCTTTAACATTTGAGTTCAGAGAATGTAATTAGCCAGAATAGACGGAGAGCTCCTGCTGTACAGTCTGTCTGTATATCCTGGTTGCTCTTAGTGTCTGACAGAGACTGTCAGTAACTAAATCCTGAGCTGTTTAGCAATTTAATACGGCTCTTCCGCAGATCTCTTCCAGCTACTTCCCTTTCTCTTCTCACAGAAAATAAAGTGCTGTGCTACAGTGATGATGCTGCAGTAGTACTTTGATGAACATCATTTTACCTTTCATATATTATAGTACTTACATGGTGAGCTATCTGTAATTTTTCACCTTGAGTGGATGTTGTTGTGTTTATGGTTTGACAGGTGCGATGGATGATGTACTGGATTGTGTTTGCTCTTTACACAGTGGTGGAGACGATCACAGATCTTTCTTTGGCTTGGTAAACACACACACACACAGTCTGGAAAGAACAAATACAGAATTATTATTAGATTACATGCAGTAATCAAGTGGTTTTATTAACATTTGGCCACTGTTCCCAATTATAGCTTTTCACTGTCCAGTCTTTGTTCTGTATGAAAAGAGCTTTTATCTGTTTTTGAACTGCTAATTTTCCTCGGGCTACTTAGAGGAACCAGTCTGTTAGGTTCAGTTTCAGTTCAGTTAAATTCCAGTGCCTTTCATTAGTTGTATGACATTTTGAAAAAAAGCTCTGCCTATTTTGCTGGCTTTGGTCTTCCTAAATTAGATTAGCTTTATTTCGCATGGATAGCTCAGAATGGAGTCAAAGGGTACAACTAGAAACTGGCATTAAAAATGCTCTTTTAAAATATCCCAATTAAAAATATTGAATTAGCTATAACACTTTATTGTATATTTGCAGGCCATAATTAATTTTAGCACTCATATACACTCACATTTTCCTATCACATGCACAAATTTTCACTCTCACACAATCTTATTTTCATTTTATTTACACATTTTTACTCGCACACACTCATAAGCCAATCACAATTCTTCAAAATCATTCATACTGAAATGTATTCAAGATTCCAAATTGTAGGAACTACTGAAATCACACCTATGCTAAAAGCTTTTACTCTAAGTGGTTGTAAAGTTATATTTTACATGCTAATAATATATGTTTTATATAATGTATATACACTCACTGGCCACTTTATTAGGTATACCTGTTCAACTGCTTTTTAATACAAACTTTTAATCAGCCAATCACGTGGCAGCAGCTCAATGCATTTAGGCATGTAAACATGGTCAAGACGATCTGCTGCAGTTCAAACCGAGCATCAGAATGGGGAAGAAAGGTGATTTAAGTGACTGAACGTGGCATGGTTGTTGGTGCCAGACGAGCTGTTTTAAGTATTTTAGAAACTACTGATCTACTGGGATTTCAATGCACAATCATTTCTAGGGTTTACAGAGAATGGTCTGAAGAAAAGAGACAATATCCAGTAAGTGGCAGTTCTGTGGGTTCTGTGCCATATCATAAAGCACAAATCATCTCAGAATAGATGTGGTGAGATTTGGTGAAACTGGAGATTCATATCATGGATGTGCAGCCAACAAATCTCCAACAACTGCGTGATGCTATCATGTCAATATGGACCAAAATCTTTAAATAATATTTCCAGTACCTTGTTTAATCCATGCCACGAAGGACTAAGGCAGTTCTGAAAACAAAAAGGGGTCCAACTGATACTAGTAAGGTGTACCTAATAAAGTGGCCGGTGAATGTATAGCTTCAGTTTAAATATATTTATTCAGAGTGAAAGAGAATGGAGTATACAGTAAGTATAAAGTACAACATGTACAGCAGACTAATAAAAGCTCTTTATCGTCTTTGGACTGGTTTTAAGAACAGCAAACTATATGCATTATATCAAATCGATCAACCAAGTCTTTTTATTGGTTGTTTACGATAAACAATGCTGACGTATCAAAGAGAAAGCCAATCTCAGAATTATTCAGAATTTCACATTGATTACTTTTAACTGTGTTTCAGGTTTCCAGTTTATTATGAGCTAAAAATGGCTTTCGTCTTTTGGCTGTTGTCTCCCTACACCAGAGGAGCCAGTGTCATCTACAGGAAGTTCCTACACCCTATGCTGGCATCCAAAGAGAGGGTAATGACCCATACACATCATCGGGTTCCCTGGGAATAGGCGTTCACTGATAGTAAACTCATCGCTGTATTCAAACCTGTCATGGATTGAGGAGGATTACATAATCAGGGATTACATACAGTTGAAGTCACAATTATTAGCCCCCCAGTGATTTTGTTTTTCTATTTTCCCAAACGATGATTAAGAGAGCAAGGAATTTTTCACAGTATTTGCTATAATATTTTTTCTTCTGGAGTTGGTTTTATTTCGGCTGAAATAAAAGCAGTTTTTAATTTTTTTAAAAATCATTTTAAAAAGTCAACATTATTGGCCCCTTTAAGCTATATATTTTTTAAGAGTCGACAGAACAAACCATGGTTATAAAATAACTTTTCTAATTAACCTAGCCTGCCTAGTTAACCTAGTTAAGCTTTTAAGTTACACTTTATGCTGAACACAAGTATCTTAAAAATATCCAGTGCAATATTATCTACTGTCATAATAGCAAAGATGAAAGAAATTAGAAATGAATTATTAAAAGTTATTAGAAATGAGTTAGTAAAACTAATAAGTTTGGAAATGTTTTGAAAAAATCTTTCTATAAACAGAAATTGGGGAAAAAAGGTGCTAATAATTCAGGAGGGCTGATAATTCTGACTTCAACTGTGAATGAGAAAGACAGATGGCTTGGATATTTGGGTATTGTGATTACATGATCTTTATCAACTCCAACAGTAAACATGGTTTGTTTAACTGTGCTTGCATATCTTGTTTTTGGCCATCCATAATTGTTTGTTGTCAAAGTCATAGTTGGAGGTTAAGGAAAAGTATACATGTAAATGTTTGAAGTACAAGCTTAAATCATAAAATGCTCATTTTTGCATAATTTACATCACCTCTTGTCTTACAGTGTTTTAAATTTTTCACTTAAAAATTATTTCTGAGAGCATATTTTGCTCTGATTGGTCAGAATGTCCAATGTTATAATTGATTCAATGTTTACAGCAACAGGTTGGAAACCAACCTTTTTAATATGTCATTTAAAAGATCTAAGATAATTTGGCAAATCATGGATCTTTCATATCAACTGATTTCTGGCTCATTCAGTTCTTCAAACAGGTTTGCGAATCATATTAAAATATGTAGATGAATTGAGTCTGTGCTTGTGTTTGTGGTAAGATCTATCAATCCTCAAAATCATAAATGCAGTGATTGACTGACAAAACAACATCGTGATGACATCTTCTGATTAATATTACACTTTCAGCCAGGAGCAAAATGTCATTTTTAATAAATGAAACAATGTTAAATGATATGCAATAACTTTGCCCATTCTTTGTAGGCTATTTGTACAAGTTTAATACTCTGTCAAGCATTTTGTATTTAGTATTAATTTAGTGTTGTGTTTTATTTAGTCTTATCTTTAGATTTTATACCTAAAAGAATTCAAGTTTCTTAATCCTAACTGTCTATTTAAAACATTTAAAAAAGCATGATCTGCATCTCCTCTTTCAGTATTTTCTCAGTTTCCTATTTATGAATCCTGTTTATATGAAATAAACCTGCTCCTAAACAGCTTTGAGCCCACAGAACTGTTGCTGTCATATCATACCATGGACGAATTTTGAAGAGTGAAAATATTCTAGATTGTGTCAAATGGTCAATACTCATGTTCAGCTAAACGAGTAATACAGACTACTGCATTTCAGCTCCAGAAGAAGACAAAGAGAAAATGTTTATTCATATGTATATAGAGACATGGACAAAATTGTTGATGCCCTTCCATTGAAGAAAGAATAACCCACAGTGGTCACTGAAATCTGAAAAAACGAATAAAAAATAAACTACAGGAAATCAGATACTGCGTCTGTGCATCTATATGTACATAAAGAAATACTGAAATCACCTATGACCCATTTCAGACAGTTTAGAATTGGTTTGTTCTTTTGAGACATACTGTAAGTAATGTGCTTTGATCTTATTGCAGACGTTTTACATTCACAAACAGCTATATTACATACTATATAAATCTAATAACCAGAAAAGGCATAAAAGGTGTATGTTAAGTGTATTACTTATTGACTGTTTTCCATTGTGTTTTTCAGGAGATTGATGAATATATTGTCCAGGCCAGAGAGAGGAGCTATGAGACCATGGTGAATTTTGGGCGTCAGGGTCTCACAATCGCAGCCGCTGCTGCTGTCACTGCTGCTGTGAAGGTAAAATACAGACTCACAGTTTATACTGGCCATTTGAACTCCACTAACTCAATAACTAAGCCGATTTGCTCAGCGAACAACTTTGATTCTATGTAAACAGAGGATTTGTTTTGCATTGACACATTACCTCACCTTGAAACTATAGGTTCTGACCTTTTTCTTTTATTTAGTTTTCATGTATTCTTGCTCTGTAACAACTTATTTATGTGTATAAAAAGTACAAAAGTGTACAATTTGAAAACTTATTTAAAAAAACCTGATTTCCATATTATATTTAGAATCTAGACAGAACCTTTTAATTGCAAACTGGTGATTAATTTTTAACAGTCATTTCTGTTGAGCTGTTTTGAGCCCTTTCATTTTTAAAAATGTTTTTATGAAAGGTTATACCAGACTTTTCAAATAATAAGCAACTTAATTTATTATACCTCTATACGTTTACAGTTCAAAATCTTTAAATGGTTGATGAACAGAAGCTTTGGTAAATAGAAACTATTTAGACAGAGATTATATACAGTATATTAGATATAGAGATTATTTATTTTTTGGTATAAATATTTGTAACATTGGAACGGCCTTAACAGCTAGGCTTCAATGTTAAAGAAATGCACTGCATAACAGAAGTGACCCAGTAAAATAAATGGTGCTCTTCACTGTGGCCTCTCCTGTTTTTCAAATCAAATTTGCTGTCTGGCCATGTCTGGTGCCCAAAAAAAAAGATCAGCAACACTAGTGCTCTTCGGTTCCTGATTGTTTTCAGAAGTGGTTTTTGCTAAGGTCAAGAATATCAAAGTGAAATAAGGGTGGGCTCATGCAGCCAATAAGCAACTACCCTAGCATCCGCAAAGCGACACTTACTGTAAAATCACTCAGAGAGGCTTATGCATTGCTAATGGTACTCTGAGCACTTTCTTCTGAAAATGTAAAAATCTAGCTGTCTCTCTCTCTCTCTCTCTCTCTCTTTCTCTTTCTTTTTGCTAAACTAATCTCCAGCAGTAGCTGTTGAACATCTCTCAGGTAACTTGCTTTTCTTTTTCCATCTGCTCTAACCTGTTTGCATTATTAACTATCATGCCTTCATGGGAGTTAAAATTAAAAATGTATTTGATTGTTTACTATAAATGTAGTCACATTTGAGGCTTTTGGCAATTGAATATACAGTTGAAGTCAGAAGTATTAGCTCTTCTGTATTCTCCTGTATCCTGTATGTTTTTTTTTTACCCAATTTCTGTTTAACAGAAAGAAGATTTTATTCAAAACATTTCTAAACATAGTAGTTTTAATAACTCATTTCTAATGACTGATTTATTTTATCTTTGCCATTAGTGTTTGGGAAAGTTACTTTAGAAAGTAATGCATTACAATATTGAGTTACTCCCCAAAAAAGTAAGTTGCGTTAGTTACTTTGTATGGCAAGTAATGCGTTACGTTACTTTTGAATTACTTATGCATTAGTTTTTTTGTACCTGGCCTGATCTTTTTCAGAACTTGCAGGGTTTTATGTATAACCTTCATTTCCTTTTAATAAAAACACATAAAACATAACGTAGGCTAATGTTATCTTCTGAGAACATCCTGACCCAGAGCTCTGCATGATGTATATACAGATTAATGAAAGTTTAAAGCAATGTGTTTGCTATTTTTTTACTTTTTGTCTTAATAGTTACATAAAATAACTGTCTATTAAGACAATCACCTTTTCCTTTTCTTTGATGCGTTCAAAATATTGAGAATACTTTCATCGCAGAAACATAAGGGGATTCATTTTTAATTCTGCAATTTTTTTTTAAGTTTTAAAGCTAAAGAATTAAACTAAAAAAGTAACTTGCATTACATTTGAAAAAAAAAAAAAGTAACTCAAATAATATTACTTATTTATTTTAAGGTAATGCGTTACTTTACTTGTTACTTAGAAAAGTAATATTATTAAGTCACTCGCTTTCCATGTAATGCTTTACCTCCAACACTGTTTGCCATGATGACAGTATATACTGTACTATTTTACTACATATTTTTCAAGATACTAGTATTCAGTTTAAAGTGCAATTTAAAGGCTTAACTAAGTTAATTGGATTAACTAGGCAAGTTATGGTTATCCGGCAAATCATTGTATAATAATGGTTTGTTCTGCAGACAAACGAAAAAAAATGTATTGCTTAAGGGGGCTTATAATATTGACCTTAAAATTCAGGCTGAAATAAAACAAAACTTTTTTTTCCAGAAGAAAAAATATAGGAAATACTGTGAAAAAAGTGTTTGCTCTGCTAAACATCATTTAGGAAATATTTAGGAAAAAGAAGGGCTAATAATTTTGAATATACTGTATTGAATATACTGTATTGAATATACAGAGTACAACTGCCCATCAGCCACATCTAATCACATGACTCTGCTCACAGGGACAGGGGGCCATCAGTGAACGTCTGAGGAGTTTCAGTATTCCAGACCTGACGCAGGTTCCCTCTGAGCAATCAGCCATCTTCAACTCCAGCCGACGGGCCCTGCCGCCTGCGGATTCTGGTGATTATTAAATGATAAATGATTGATTAAATAATTATGAAAAATTACCACATACCCATTTAGCTAAGGAAACAAATGAACTGTAAGAGCCCAAATTAGCATTTTAAGACCTCAAGAGCAGATGTGCAAATTGTGTGTCATCAATAAATCATTATTATGTCTCCCTCTAGTGGCAGGATAAGGATTGAAAATGATCTTTTGGTTGGTCAATGAGTTAAAGCATTTAAAGTGAGAGCCATTATTTACTTTATTCATCCAACCCATTGTGAGTGTGTGTGAGGAAAAATGCACTGAGCTGCAAAGAATCTTATTTATAGACAGGTTCTGGATGTTCAAAACTCTATTAATTGAACGGATGGAATGGAAATTTCATTAATTAATAATAACCCTTAAAGACAGAGCTACAAGGTTGACAGAGCTAACTGATGATATGTAACTGTATATTTCAAAACATTTTCTGGAGATTTTGCATCCTTTATCGGATTGAGAATTAGCTTCAAAATCTATTCATAGTGTTTGTATCTCTGTGTGTTCCACAAAGTCACAAATGGGTTTGGGGTGACATATGGGTGAGTAAATGATGACAGAATAAAAATTTGGGGGATAAAAAAAGTAATTCTTCAAGGTTTAATCCCACTTGTTTGAGATCTTTATTGCTTCCCCTGTGCATCTGCTCCACCAGAGCCATATAAACAGACAGGGGAGGGTCATGAGGAGGAAACAGATGGAATATTCTCTGAAGATGAGGCGTCTGTGCAGAAGGGGCTACGCAGATCTCAGAGCGTGAAACTCACTCGTGCCAAAGCAGCACGCAAAGAGGTAGCTTTGTACATGCATATATTGTGGATTTAGTTATAGTATAATCCAAAACAGAATACAAACATTTAGCCTAGTGTTCTCAGACTTTTAAAGGCTCATTCACATCAAGGATGATAACTATGACAATGACTGTAAAGATCTGAAAGTTTATACTTCTTACATTTACTTAAGTGTGCTATGTTGCTGGCTGAGGATGAAACGATCAGCATTTACAAAGCAGAAAATCCACTCTACAGGAAGCACAGATTTTGAACTCTCTCAAATGTCTTGATTGTAGTCCTAAACTGTCTTCCTGGAAGATACTGTACATGTAACAATATCATAATATTAAACAATTCAACCTGATTAGTCTTCATAAGTAGTGTTGTAACTAAGTATGAGAGATGGTTTCACTGACCTAACATACTGATATATGATTAATGATTGATTAAATGATTAATGAAGGAATTATAATGCTTTGACTTATGTATAGGCTATTTCTGTCCGTTCGCATCCCGTCTCTTTGTGCCCCCTCGTGGCTTATTCACAAACTGCGGTCATACAATAAAAACAGAGTGGCTGCAATTTCAAACGGCGGCGGTATAAGCTCCGGCGGTAATGGCCACTTTGAACTCTCAGCTACTGTACACAACTTCTTCTGGAATTATTTAAACTCACAGACATAACAAACATTATTTAAAGTGGTGTATTAGGGTTATACAATACAGTATATGAACTTTACTTCTGAAAACTGCACTGACAGAGTTTTAATTTACAAGAACTTCTATGTTAAGCTGCTTTGACACAATCTACATTGTAAAAGCGCTCTGGAAATAAAAATGAATTGAATATATATTTTAAAAATTGTCACTATGGCAGTAACAGTATATAAAATTTCTGTATAGCAAAGAAGAGAAATAAATTTTATGTATTTTATAGGCACGTATCTGTCTGCATGCATAGGTTGTTTATTCAAATATGACCAATCAGATTGGGTTTTATTATCTTTATACCCACCTCCCCAGTAGATGCTCTTATGCTATTGGCTAGATTAGGCCTGAAGGTGAACTTACTCCCTTAGAGCAGAGAGCTGAATACAAAGACTAACAGCAGGAGTAGAGAGAGACAAGAAAGGACAATGAAAACAGTCAATGAAGATCAGAACATCAGCTGAGGTTTTTAGTCATTCATAGTGTTTTCTTTAAATTTAATTAGACAATAAAAAAAAATTAAAAAAATAATATATATATATATATATATATATATATATATATATATATATATATATATATATATATATATATATATATATATATATATATTACCTGTTTATTTTAATATAATCATTACCTGAATAAACAATTTTTAAAAATAGCTAATAAAAATGCAGTTTATTTAGGCCAGGGGTGCCCAAACACTTTCTTATGATCGGTCAAAAACAAAACTTTATTGAGGGCTGTGGGCTGAAGGTAAAAATACCAAACTGTAATACATTGAAGTTTCCATGAGTAATTTCCAAATTTATTTCCTAATATTTGAAAATAACTAATGCAGTATATATTTTTTTAAATTATAATGAATTTATTACAGTAAAAACTTAAACTGTCCCATTAATCACACAATTTTTACTGTCGAGTGAAATTACATACAAACAAAATGTTACATTCAATTTTGAAAAGACAATCTCTGTCAAAGATAATTCTTTCTCTCTTCCCACCATGGGATGGTGGGTCAAATAAAAGGTTAGCATGGGCCAACTTTGGCCCACGGGCCCTAGTTTGGGCATCTCTAATTTAGGTAAAGGTAATACTGTAATCGATACTCAACAACAATATCATATATTGCATATTTTCCCAGTATAGTGGAGCTCTATTGTGTTTTTTTGTTTGTTTTTACATAGCCTTTTGTTTATTTGTCAGTTGATGAAAAAGCATGAAATATTAACCTTAAGTTGGCACATAATTGCATGTGATTGCAACATTCTGTGTGCACTTTGTCTTTGGATTCACAACTCCATATTGACCGTATTCTTCGCCTACGAGCGGATGCAGCCATTTGAATCTTTTTGGCTGAAGAGACCACTGGTATCATTCACTTCTATTTGTTTTCAGATGTTAAAAACAGCTCGTTCTGCTGCTTGATGTTGCAAACTGACATTTTCTTAATATATTATTCTACTTTGTCTTTATAGTCATGCAAACACTTGTTTTGTAGAGCAAGTAGTTTAACTGTTTTCTGCTGTTTATTATTCCTAGTCATTTCTCCCATAGGCAACTGAATCGGAAGTTCTAAAACAATTGCAAAAACGAGCGCACTTTCACATTAAAGAATAATGTCAGTATTAGGAGTTTAAATCAACAACGCTTTAAAACACATGCAGATCTTTTGCTTGTTGTTGGCAGAGTAAATGAGGCACAAGCTGTAAAGGCTCAACCCTCTTTTGGAAAATTGGGTGTGACCAAAAGCTTATTTTCATTTAAGTTACAAACATACAATCAAAAAATACATATTCAGCATGGTATACTATACTATATATCATCCAGAACCTAATTTTAGCTGAAAAGTCATCTTTTAGTCACTCTTTATTTTAAGGTATCATTTTCGCCATTACCAAAACCTAAACTAAGATTTTACCTCAAAGTATTAATTTGCTGCTTTTTAATAGGTAGATGATGGATTTAGGTACCATTAGATTGGGATGTAGAATGAGAAAATACTTTTTAAATACTAATGAACACAACTAATGTCTTAATAATAAGCAGGTAATAATCCAGTAGGTAATAGTGGGAATTGGTACTTAAACTAAAGTGTTACCCATCTTTTAAAAGGGCATCATAAGACCCCTTTAAAATTGTCTTTAATTTAAAAGAAATGTTTAATGAAAGAAAGTGTAATGAAAGAAAGTGTAATGGCAAAGAAGGATTCTGTATGAATCATTTTGGAAGTTTTTTCAAACTCAATAACAATAAAAAAAAGTCCATCCTGCTTTTAAAGAGTGTGAAGATTTAAACAGACAAATAGCAACACTGCAGCACATGATTGATAAATATGCTAATTTAGTTATGACTATAGTTATTTTTATAGTCATCATTCTTGGTGTGCACTACTTTACTGTGTGTAATGATGTCCTTTTTTTTCAAGCCTCGCTATGGCTCTCTGAAGCTGAAACCTAGAAGAAGACAACTGGTTACATCGTCCACTTATGACCATCCATGAGCGTCCAATATAAAAGACCAGATGGGATCTAATCCTGGGTTTAAGTTTAATCCTAAACGTTGGTCCTGCTTTTCTTCAAATTAATGCTCCTTTTAAGCAGCACTAAACTAAAAATCTACAGACTTGCAGCATGAACAATGACTTTTACATTCATTGATTTAGTAAACGCTTTTTCCACAAACGAATACAACTGACAATGATGCATATGATAAATAGCGAATCTTGCATGCTGCGCTGTTCGTTCTAAAAAATACCAAAACCTAATACAAGTACAAGAAGTCTAAGAGTGTACTAAAAATCGAATGGTTCTGAGCACATTAGATCTGTACCTGCTTCTGTATAGACATCTCTTTTTACTACGAGCGTGTGGGCACATCCTGTAGCACAGATATCCCAGGTGTCCTTGCTCTCCTTCTACAGGGGCAGGTGTCAAGGTCAAAGGTGTCTCCGGTGTGCGGCTCGCAGCTTGTTTTCACAGTAATGAAATGAGCCTGGAAAAAAAATGAGTATGCATGTTATAGCAGGTATTTGTATAAGCATAGGTGTTTCAGCTTGTTAATGTTTACATTTCCATAGTTCACCCAGAATTCATTCTGCTTTCTTCATCCTCATGTCATTCAAAACAAGTACAGATTTCTTTGATGGAATTTAAAAGGCGTAATTTTGAAGAATATCCTGTATGCTCTTTTCCATGTAATTTAAGTGAATTATTGTGCTTTATTTGTGTATTTTAGTCAATAAAAAATCACAAATAAAGCCCAATAAATGGATTATAAAAGTGTCCCAATTGACTACGCAATTTAAACTAAGGATGGTCAGACTTTGATGGAAGGTTATCAAAACAAGCATTTTTTATTTTCAGTGAATTAACTTCGGAATGCTGTAAAATCACTATGTGCATTAGCAAAATAAATATTTTGATTGGACAATATCTGGAATCTGAGGGTTCAGAAGAACCCAAACAGTAAATCGCTTTTAAAGTTGTTTAGAATGAGTTCGTTTCTATGCATCCCAGCAGGGATCAGATGTCAACATGACATCAGATTGACGTTGTACCCTGACGTAATGGGAACGTTACATTTTGTCTGGAAATGAAAATCAGGTTGATGTCAAAACCCAGCGTCAGGGCCATGTCAATGTCCGACCTAAAATCAACCAAATAACGTCTAATGATGTTACAGCTTGGCGTTGTGTGGATGTCACCATGACATATATCAGAGGTTGAATTTTAGGTGGTGAATTCAGGGGTGCCCAAATTCAATCCTGGAGGGCCGGTGTCCTGCAAAGTTTAGCTTCCTTTAACACACCTGCCTGGAAGTTTTTGTATACCTAGAAAGAGCTTGACTAGCTACGTCAGATATGTTTTATTGGAGTCGCAACTAAAATATGCAGGACACTGTGTGAGTCCGAGCACCCCTAGTTTAAGGTGGTGAATCGACATTGAGTTTTAGTCACTTTCTAACACAACTTAAAACCAACGTCATTTGATGTTGTTATTGGACGTCAAAACAGCATTGTCCTTAGATGCTAGCTAGACATTGAATTATGATCACCTGGCATCACAACTTAAATCTAACCTAATATTAACGTCTTCTGACATTGTGTGCTTGCTAGGATATTACTAACTAAGAAGTACATTTTGATATATTTATGAGAGGAAATGTTAAAAATGTCTTCATAAAAAAAAAAATCTTTACTTAATATGCAAATTATTTTTGGCATAAAATAAAATGTGGTAATTTTAAATCTTTGGCTTTTCCCACAATTACACCCTTGCCCAACATATGTACAGGTTTAGTAGTGCAGGGTCACATGAGAACAACCTGATGTGTTTTCTTAACATGTTCCATATCAATTTCATTTGAAATTAAATATAACATTTCATACAATTTCCAAATGAACAACAAAATTGTGCATGTTAACAAGAGTTCATTTCATGTCTACATTGTAGGGAAGATTTTCTGTGATTATTCATCATTTCTTGGAAAAAATTAAACAGGATATTATTCAAAATGTATCCTTTTTTAAAAAAAAATTTCAAGTGTATCATACAGGTTAAAAACAACATGAGGATTAGCATTTTATCCTGCATTTTCAGGTGAACTATCGACTATTTAACTTTTAAATATGTAATGGATTTCTATCGTTGTAATCTCGATTGTTTGTGTGTTTAGGTCTCAACAGTATTTTAGAAGCTCTTTCCAAATACATTTCTTAAGTTAGGATTGTGTTTTGTTAAAACATTTTGAGGAATCCAGTTTAATGTGTTGAATGTTCATTTTAATCATGTTTGTTTCTGCATTTCATGCTACTGTTTCTCTCATTTCAATAGCTAAATGCACTAATTGCTGTAACATTTGACCAAAACACTCCAGCTTTATCATTGCAAACCATGAGAGGAGAGTGTGTCTGATGCTAGTTGACAAAGTGAGTTAAAAACATTGGTGTTTGTACATGTGTAAACAGTGGCAATGATTTCTTCTTTTTTGACCATGTTTGAGTTTCAGGGGGGAGAATTGGGTGTTAACATGTTTTAGAATGTTGTTTGTGATGGAGAAAACCTGTTGATTCTGGATGTGTGTACAGATTTGTGACAACAACAGCTGTATTGAGTGTGTTTGTAACCCTAGACCTAAAGTCATCAAATAAGGCTATTTCCTTTGACATTGGTGACAGGAAAAAATCAGGGAAAGACAGAAATGTGGCTATCACTAGAGAAACTTCCTTGATTAATAAAAATGTTTTGTTTTTATGAGCATGAAACATCAGTTTGTCTGTTTGAGACAAGACAATAATAAAATACTAAATACAATATGCAAACTAATCTGATTTATTTTTTGTTAACTCCTGGATTAGTGCCTGATATATAAAAGGAAAAATGGTCTCAGCTATCTACTCGTCTGTTTTACAGTTTCTCCAGTGACCGCTAGAGGCAGTCATGTTCTGCTTTTCCCCCATGTCAAATGTTTTTAAGGAACACTTGTAGCTAAAAATCTCTAAAGGCATTCATTTTAAAATGTCTAGCCATAACAAATCCAAATAGGTTTTAAGAGTTAAAGAATCAAAATGACACTGGTAGCACAGCTTTTTCAGACATTACAATGTATCCTGTGTGGTTCTTTTTTAACCATGATCAACAGAAGACTCACTCAAAAGATCTCACTAAAATCTTATGTTAATGTTTATGTTATTCAGAACTAAAATCATTTGATGATTTATGATGATTTAAAAACTCTATTTACATATTCAAATCTAGCAGAAAATTACTCATTAATTGTTCCTGTAAAGTTTTATTATGCATAAATGCATAACCTTTTGTTAAATAAATAAATAATTGAATAAATAAATAAATAAATCGTTAAATAAATTGATATGTGTATGTATAGTTTGATTACTTATTTCTTATATATATATATATATATATATATATATATATATATATATATATATATATATATATATATATATATATATATATATATTTTATATAAGTGCAGGTCGGAATATTATTGTATACACATGCAGAACGCATGCAAAATGCAACTTTAATGTTTCAAATAAATTCAAGATAAAATTTTAGAGTAAATAAAAACAGGTTTATGTAAAAATGAAACGTACTTATTCAATTAATGTTTCATTTTTACATCTGTATTTTTGTCCCTGAAATTGTATCTTGAAGTTATTAGTTTCAATGAAAAAATATATATATAAATTATACATTTTGACCAAAATGGAACATCTCAGAGCCAGTCATATACTGTATATATCAGGGATTTCAACAGTATTTAGACTACCAGTGAAGGCTGACTGCAGAATTTATGTGTACATACTGTATGATTAACCTTTTCAGAAAAGCCGCCTGATTTGAATATTCACACCTCTAGGCTATAAAGAAGAAAGTTTGACGTCACACAAACAAGCATCCACGTGTTTTGCTGCTTCAGTCATGAACTGCAAACAACACCCTGTTTAATGACACTCGTGTTTACTTTAGCTGCCTGACAATGATACAATATGGCCATTGGGCATACTTTTTTAAATAAGACAACAGTGGCAAAGTGTATCAGTGCTATACGCATTCATTGATAAATATGATTGAGACAGGTTTTTGAGTGTTTGTTTTGGTTTTGGTGGTTTATGAGGACACAGATTTGTATACAACTACACTGTTAAAAAAAAAAGAAAATCCGTAAATCAGGAGTTTCCCACATTTTGTGATGTGTGTTCTTTATATTTTTAATTTCCCTGTTTATGTATGCTTTTGACTTGAATTATGGGACATCTTACTTGCAACAACTTTTAATCTTGAAAAGTTGGAAAAAGAGACTTTTAATAACATGTTGAATAGTTTAAAGTAATATTTTGTCTGGATTTGTGTTATATATTATATATTATGGTACAAAAACCTTGTAATAAAGTGCCAGTACATTTTCTGTTATTTTACATACTTATTTCTTATACATTATATTATTTCAACATACTAAAATGTCAATAAAATTCACTTTGTTAAACTGTAGAGTTTTCATAATCAGAAATCAACAGAGCATAGTTCAAAGTCCCATAATGCAAATCACAAGCGTAAATCACAGGAAACACTGAAAATACAGAAACTGTTAATGAACAGATTTTATTTACAGTGTAGGTGTTACAATATTAAGGTGGTTTATGAGGTTATGCCCTGTGTCCTGGTAATTCAAAATACTTAAACATCAAACCTAACAGTCATTCAAAATCTGCCACTGGTTTCCACAGGTTTGCCTCAAAGAGATGTGATATAATAAGCTGTTTTAACAATATGAAATACACTAGAGAGTCCTTATAAACCACCAATACAACTATGTGTGTGGTCGAGCAGCAGTTGTGGTTCACTGTGGTCTCTGTCACAGGACGTGTCTAAATCTTTCAGCACTTTAGCACGGAGACGTCCTGTGTCTCAGACAAGAGAAGAGGAAAAGGATGAGAGAGTAAGAGAGAAAATGAAAGAGAAATAGGTTCATCTGTCAGGAGGTCGAGTCCTCCTGGAATATGAGTGTGTGTTTGTGGAGACTTTGGTGAGAGAGTGAAGATATCTGTTGGTCTACAGCCATGTATGCACACTCAAAAAAATAAATAAAATAAGACTAGCTGGTAACTAATCTAAATGACTCTATTGAGAGTGTATGTGACAAATAATATTGCTCTGACTTCATTTGTTTATATCAGGAATTTTCTGTCAAGGCATTTCAGAAGATTTAAAGGTAGAAATGTGCAGTTCTTTAATCATCTAATAAAATGTGCTTAAGTTAAAGATCGGTGAAATAAATTCCGATTAAAAAATATCAATGTTTAATGAAAAATCCTAAACAAAAACTACTGTAAATTTTAGGTTTATCATCTAATTCAGGGCTTCACAAACTTTTCAGCTTGTGACTTTCAACCGCCAATATCCTCTGAGGTGATAATAAAAATACAAACCTTGCAAACACAAAACGACTCACACACACTGTGAGCCGTTTGATTTTTG